ATGACTGCGAGACTTCATCACACTACTCAGAGCACTGCATTCTGAAACTTAGGAATTGCGTATTTCAGGAATTTTCCATTTAGTATTTCTGGACTGTGGTTGACTGCAGGTAACTGAAAATGAGGAAAGCAAAACTGAAGGTATGGGGAGATTACTGTGCATACTTCCCAATAACAATTATATGTATGTATATATGTGTATACTATATAAGTACATAAATATAAATATATACATACTTAGCTACCAAATCAGCATCTGATAAGAAGGGAAACACTAGAGGCATTCCCGATAGCCAGCACAATTAAAAAAGCATAAAACGTTAAAGACATTTAAGAATTGGAAAGAGCCCTGGCCAGTTTGCTCAGTGGTTAGAGCATAGGCCCGCGGATTGAAGGGTCCTGGCCAAGGGCACGTACCTTGGTTGCAGGCTCGATCCCTGGCCCTGGTTGGGGTGTGTGCAGGAGGCAACCAATCGATGTGTCTCTCACATTGATGTTTCTCTCTCTTTCTCTCTCTCTCCCCCTTCCACTCTCTCTGAAAAGCAATGGAAAAAATATCCTCAGGTGAGGATTAAAAAGAAAAAGAATTGGAAAGAGGTAAAATTATTTCTATTTGCTGACATGATAGAATAGCTGGAATACCTAAGAAAATAAAGGTAAGACTAATATAAACAACATGAGAATTCAGTACGGTAGAATATAAAATCAACACACAGAAATCAATCAATAAAAAAAATAAAACAAGATTAAATTCTTAGTATAAACTTAGAAATTTGCAACACTTATATGAATAAAATTGTAAAGCACTCCTAAAGGACTGGACAAGTTCAGAGTAAACTTGAACAAATGGAAGGATATTCTTTGTTCTTGGAGGGTCAATGCAACATCATAAAAATGTCAATTCTCTCCAAGTTTATAGCTTTAACCTGAAACAAATAATTAACACATAAATTTTATTTTCTGGAAGTAAATAAGCTTATTTTGAAGTTTGTTATGTAAATAAAAAGTAGCTGAGAAATCCTGAGAAAGAAGAGCAGGGATGCCAAGCCCTACCAGATATTAAAGTACATTATAATCATGTTATACTGGTACATGAATTAACAGACCAATGGAACATAGTAAGAAGTTCAGAAATTTTTCCAAATACTAATACAAATTTAGTATATGATAAAGATGGTAATCTCAAATCACTGGCCAAAAGGTAGACCTTTAAAAAAAAAAAAGGAACAATTGGTTAGCCAAAAGATAAAATTAGAGGAGGGGAGGGAAGGAGGAAAAGGGAGGGAGGGAGGGGGAAGGGAGGAGAAGGGGAGGAAGAAAAAGTGTGGGAAACTGCGGATATACTAAAACAAAGCATGATGGCTTCCTCTATAACCTGTAAGTCGGGATTTTCTAACTATGAATCAAAACCTAGAACCAATAAAATATTAATACATTTAGCCACAAAAATAACTGTTAGCATGTAAAAAATAAAACTAAAAACAAGATCAAAGGTAAATGATAAACAGATAAAAATGTTTGCAACTTATATTACAAAGGACAAATAACACTAATTTATAAAGAGCTTACGTAGAGAATATATACCAGAAAACAGAAGAAAAAATGGGCAAAGACATGTATATTCACAGGAAAAAAAGAAAGGAAATGGTTTATAACTATTGGAAAGACCTTCAACCTCACTCGTAATCTCTCTGTCTCTCTTTGTGGCCTCATTACGTGATGGCTCAGGGCTCCAAGAACAAGGGACAGGAAGAATATCTTTCAAGATAATAGCTTTGCAAAAGCTGCACAAAGTCACTCCTCACACACACTATTAATCAGTCACAGGGCCAGCCCAGGTTCAAGGAAAGGGGAAACAGACTCTACCTCGTTATGGAAAACTGGCAAGGTAACACTGCAAAACAAAACGTTGGGATGGGAACTATTGCGACAGCCATCTTTGGAAACACAACCTACCTACAATAAAATGCAAATTGAAACACCAAAAGATATTTCTCTTCCATCAAATTGACAAAAATCTAAATGTTGACAACAGATTCTAAGAAACTGAGTACTCTCATATATTGCAAGGGGGAGTAAGGCACAGGTCCAATGGAGGGGAATTTGGCAATATTACCCTTTGACACAGCAATCATAATCCTACTTCTACCTCCACAAATAGAATATGTACACAGGCTCATTTTATTAACTCCACTTTTCTTTTTTTGGGACAAGTGCAGGCAGTGGGGAAGTTATGATTTTCTTTCTTTTAAATGGATTAAAAGCATCATCAACTGACATGCTATGAGCATCACGGCTGGTCTTACATTCCATCTGATAAGCTGAGGATTTCAGTATATCTGATAGAGGGCATGGTTTTGCAAGCAACTTGATATTCTGCACATCTATGTATAGATGAGCTTCAGCTTCCAGTTAACTCATAAATTAGTATTTAATGAAATTATTTGCCTTGATATCTCTTGCGCCTTCCTGTTAATCTCCTGAATAGTTTGTATTTAGTGTTGTACCTCCCACTTGACTACAGACTTAGGACTATTTTCACACTCACATACATATCCCATGTACATCATAAGCAGGTTTATTTCTCTGTAATTATTTCTTGTAAGTCATCTTTCTCTAGGCCAAGAAAAATCTCTTCAAGATTACTTATTTGAATTGCAGGTAATATTTGGGGAAATCGCATTAGACTTCAATCAATGTTAGTTTCAGAGGGATAAAAAAGGCCACTGGATGAATTATTTAAAAACAAGAAGCAAGAAATTTACCAATGATATAGTCATTATTTTTGGAGAAATGACCTCAAAAACAAGCATAGGACATGATATGACAAGCATTTTAAAGATCATTTTTAAATCAATTACCTACAGGATGAAAGAAGTTGCTACCTTGATGTTTATAGAATGGGTAATTGAAGCATGGGATTTCCTATAACATACATGTGTAAAACATAACTGTCTCTCACAAAAACATTTTCAAATAAAAAATAAATGGACAAGTTTTGAAAAACTGTTAGGTGTCTCAAATGTCAAAAATAAATGTGAAAATAATGGCTAGAACTCATGAGTGGAAAAAAGTTAGTATTTCATATAATAAAAATATGCATGTTTATTTCATCTCTAAACTATGACCTATACATTCATATCTAAACAAACTGGTATCTTTACAATCAACCTATAGCATATTTTAGGCAACATCCATCACCAACCCTCCCCAAATAAAAAAAATCAAGGGTTCTTAGCCTCCGCACTATTGAAATCTGAGGCCCAGATAATTCTGTTTTGAAGAACTGTTCTGGCCCTTTCTCACTAGATACCAGTATTCCTGCCCCCACCCCCACTCCACTCCCGAGTTGTGACACAAAAATGTCTCCATTGTCCAGTGTCCACTGGGGGGCATAATCACTCCAGTTCAGAACCACTGCACCAGACAAATGCTTTGTCAAACATCTCCTGTTAAGTAACTTCCTCATTTTATGTCCCATTTTCTTTCTAATTATCTAAAATCTAGTTAAAATACAGGTTCCTCCCTGAAGAAAAGAGTTGGTTACTATTACCTTTACCCATCTACTTCTCCATTAAAGTTCATAAAAATGAGAAATTTTAGGCAGTCTTATGTACAAGTTGTCACTGGGGAATAACACTACAAAATATGCATTCATCAAAATAAAACAAATCCGTAAGATACAACAGCTGAAATCAGCATTCATCAGAATGGAAATATTAGATACATACAAGTATAACGATGCTGTTATAAAATGATTTCTTCATTTTGCTCAAGCTTTCCTTCTCCAAGACAACCATATCTTTTCCTCCCTGTATACTTAAATTACTAATTCTAATGAAAGGGACTATAAATATGATCAACAGCAGACAGCTTTATTTGAGAGTACATCTAATTTTTATTTTTTGCCATCATCTGGATATGAATCCAGATGGCAAAATTAATTTATAGTTCTTGAATCTCTAGAAGATAGAGAAAAAAGAGATAAATATGAAACTACCTGAAGAATCTGGGCCAAGGTTAAATATTCATTAAGGATTACTAAATGTGAACTATAACTTTTTCCGAACATTTTATCACGTGCTAATGTAATCTAATCATTTATATCCAAACACAATAACAAAATACAAAACAGAATACAAGACTCTCATTTTATAGTTTATAATTTAAAAAGAATCTCTTTATTAAACCTGTTACAGTAGGATCCATTTTTTCAAAAACATAAATACAAAAAATTCTAGGATTGTCACCAAAAACATAATCAATGAGCAATGGTATAAGTTATTTTCCTTTGTTTCCAAATTCTTTAGTTTTTTTCTACAATAAATGTGTGTGTTTTTTAAAACCTTAAGCAAATTCTTTTTGCACTCCCCCTTCCCACCAATTTTATCACAGTTTATGGCCCACCAACTAGGATTCTTGGACAACTGCTGGCATTAATCTGTTTCCTGGGATTATTTCAAAGTATCCTGAACTTTTCCTACACTAATTTTTGTTAAAGGCATTTCCTATTAACCAAAGTTAAAATGTGACCTTTGAAAAATTTGATTTCAGATGAAAATTATGCATAAAAGCCAACTACCTTATAATTAGATCCTTAAGTTAGAAAGTGACTACTCTATGCAACATATGACAGATAACAGCTCTTACCCTTTTATTTCCTGGTTTGACAAAAACTGTCAGATTTCTTTTTAAAAGAGTACACATATACATTTTAAATTTGGCATTCCATATTAATGTAAAAATCAATTCAGATTTTAATTATTGTGGAATTTTGACAATTCTAGCAATGGCGAAGATGAATCTTATATCACTGTTATATAGCAAAAAGCAAATAACATTATAAGATTCCAAATGTTTAACCTGGTAAAACTGAGGATATATTTCAATCAAGAATATATCATCTAAAAAAATAGTATTGCTATCTAGTCATAGGAGTTTCTAATTACATTTCTGCAAGTCCTACATGTTTAGAATAAATGTAGCATTCACATAACACTATAGTTCATGAAAAGAGTATATTCTTTTATTGTTTTTGTTCATACATGTTAACTTTCAACTTTCGGTCATAAAATTCAATAAATTTGATTCCTTAATCATAAAAACTTGCTTTACACATTATTTACATGTCACCAAAGTCTACAGCCATATAAAACATCACAAAGATTTGACTGCACGGTACCATCACACAAGAGGAGAGAGCTATCAAGTAACATACATTCAAAGATTAATTTGTAGATATGCACAGTGTGTTTGGCACTGTTTATTAACAATACCACCCTCTCTTAGGCATTAAGCCTTAGTCACAATATACCACAATTTGCTATTCGCATCAACACCAGCTTTCAAACTTTGTAACTAATCATTTTTAAGAAACAAAACAAAACCAGAATTGGGACTGGAATTCAAACTCTCTGACTTTTTGCTATGCTCCACCTGAGCTGCCATCTACAATGTAGGTCTTGGTAATTTTTCCATTATGGGTACTGTCAGGAGGAAACAACTTAAAGACAATATCCTTCAATAGCTATAAAGACAAACAACATCTTTCTTTAAAATAATCAGTTCTTGGGAGTGCAAACGGAGCCCCAATGAGGAGTAACTAGTGCTAATTTTGGCAGAAATTCCAGAATGACCGATGCCATTCAAATTGTGGAGATTGTACTAGTGAGGAGAAGGATCTGGAATGCCTATATCTGAATTCAGAATCCTTAGCAACTTGTTTCACGGGTCTTCTCTTAGGACGAAAATAGACTCGGGTCACAGGTTAAAGATTCACTCTGATGTGCGACACTACACTGCTACAAAATGGAAGAAAATAAACTATGAAACCTTTAGTGACTTTGGCTATATCCCAGCGGGTAATTTATTTGACTAATTTCATTTTAACATAAAATTTCTTCACTTCAATTGGGCTGATTACATTTAATTCATTAAAGCTATACACATTCCAAATGTTTAAAAAATGACATGTTTATAAAAGGCATAAATTCAATCTTAAACTTAGGCCAAAAAAAGCCTCAATACAACATGAATCACAGTACAGGGGAACAGAAATAAAAAATTCTCTAGTAAAGTTTAGAGATATGCTGTAGCTTCACACAAAACTTTCAGCAATAAACTGACTTAAAAAAAAAAAGTCTTGCAATGTTCAAAAGAACTATGAAGTGCAAAGTAATATCACTAAACCAAAATTTAGTTTAAATATTTTATTTCAAGTATAATTTTAAAATCATAAATGGGGTTTTGAAATCCAAAATTGAAACGTTTATTCTTCATACCTTCAGATTCTGACAAGCAAGTCCAGACCTTGCTTTCCAAATCCAGTCTTCGCTGTCATTTTTCAGACTTCTGAAACCTAGTATTTAAACTTCTCCATTCAAAACGTACAATTTTAGATAACTCTTATACATCTGTTGATAAGATTTTTCTGAAAACAGTCCATCAACTATAAAGAATGGTTTCTGTCTAAGGATCAGCAGTGAGGAAAGAAATATTAAACACCTACCAAAAAATCACTTATTCATTTAAAAAAATAACAGAACCAGTGCTGTTCTCTGTCATGAAAGAGAACATGTAAAATTAAATTACTTTGTAGACTTTGGTAATGTTTTATTACCTACGTAGGCCTCAATCTCACTTAAAGATCTTTTCTACAAAGTCACCATCAGGATTTACTGAGCAAAAACCCTGGGTATTAACATGGTCCTAAATGCGATTCCAAAAAGGAACAGGTTACTTTTGAGGAAAAGAGCTGCCTTGTAATTTCCCTCAAATGCTTATTTTAAATAAACATAGTTAATGGAAATATTTTTTAAGTAACTTTGGATACTATGCAGCACACTGTCCATCAAACAAAAATGAAAATCCAAACTCTGTCCTTTTTTATGAAACTTTCCCCCTTTACTTTTCAGATTACAACTTCTTTACCTTTTATGAACTGCCTAATACTTAAATTTTTGAATTTCTGCATGTCAGTGTAGTGAGAGTTCTTCTTCAAGTGATCTTCACAACCCAGAACAAAGACACCAGATCAACACTCTCCAGTCACATTGTCTGACAATAACGATGAGATGAAATGGACGGGTATCTGGAAACAGGTATTCCTTCTGCTTCAATGGTGAGCAAGTTTTTAACATGTGAGCAACATGGAACTCATTCCTCTGGAAATCCCTCAAACTCAGAATGCTTCCATTTAATAAGTCAATATATTATTCTTAAAAATTAAAGTTTGGTCACCAGGAAAGACTGAAAAAAAGTATTCCCCTCCCCCCAAAATAACAATCCAATAGCTCTAAACACCCACTCATCTCCCTACAAAAACAGGGAAATAGTTGGGGCTGAAGGCTTTAAAACTGAAATTTCAGCTCCTCTAACATTACTGCTATTTGCTCAAAGGAGCAAGTCCATGTATTTCCTTCTCCAATACTTCCCATTTATAAGTTTATTTCCATACACACACGCATGCGCACACACACACACTCACACATACTTACTCTCAAGTAAGACACTTTTTTGTGTTTGTTGATAAATTATAAGGATTATGAACTAGGTGTGTACAGGGTTTCATAGGTGCTTTGTAAACATCAGAGTCACTTGTGTCCTTTTCTCCAAAAGCCTGAAATCAAATTATGCAACCAGTGATGGCTACTTTCCCAGACGCTGTTCACATGCTGCATACTGACGAAGGGCAGACAAAAAGTCCTCATATCTGATGTTTAGGTGGGAAGGCAAAGAGCTGAAAAGGAAGCACAGGGGGAAAGAAGCAATTAGATGACATACTATGGTTTGAAGGGGGAACCAGAAGGGTAATGACCAAAAAGAGTTTAAGGACAGAAGAAAGTAAACTATAAGCATAGAGAATGTAAACCATTTCTATTAAATGATTGTTAACTGTGCAACAGTTCAAGTAAAAAACAATCTCATTCCACCAGAGAAAAGCAACTTGTAGTGAGAGGTTCAGAACCTCTGAAAGCATAAGTTGGATTAATGCAAAACTGGAGATCTATTTATACAGGATTTCAGTCAAACTTACTTCAAGAGCTTTCTGTCAGAGGAAAGTCGGTACTACATGAAATGTTTCTGAAAGCCTTTCAAGACCTGGCATTGGCTGAGGAGCACAGCATCCCTGCACCATGACAGGCTGAAGCCATGTGGGGAGTAACCATAAATGAGCAGTGTCTATCTCCACCACTCCGGCTGCTCAAGGGGTCAATGGCAGTGTGAAGGGGAGGGCTTTAAAGGCAGAGTGAGCACACAGCCGGAGGGTCCCCCTTTAAGTGTTTTGTTTTTTTTAAATCCTCACCTGAGAATATGTTTTACTGATTTTTTTAGAAAGAAGAAGGAGAGGGAGAAGGAGGGGAAGAAAGGGAGAGCGGGCAGAGAGAGAGGGAGAACGGAGAGAGAGACAGACAGACATTGGCCGGCTGCCTCCCATACGCACCCTGACCGGGAATCAAACCCACAACCCTCTTTGGTGTATGGGATGACGTTCCAACCAATCAAGCCACCCTTTAAATATTTTAAACACTTAAATAATTTTCAATAGTTAACATCTTTTTAAAAACCTCTATACAGCTTTATGGTGATGCTTTGGAAATTCCAAGAGGTATGAGAGCCAAACACCTGGTTATTGTATGAGAGCCACACTCAGAATTCCAGTCACACGCACCACGAAAAGGATTCAAGGAGCCTACCATGAGCGAACCGCCTGCCCGTGTTCTCTCTGGCCACACTTCATCCTTCCTTCCCCAAACCCCAGCTCTGAGCTGTAACTGACATTTAATCTGTCCCCACTTCACTTCCTTCCCCCTTAATAGTCTCTGCTAGCGACCTTCTATCTTCTTCACTCTACTGGAATGATATCCTCAAAGGACAAATGGAATGATTCTTCTTGCTAATGCTTGCTTCAAGTGTCCTCCGCAAACTACCCACTTTCCTACATCTTCCTCATTTTGCCCTTTATCAACAGTCTCATTCCTGTCACTCCTCAAGAAGCACGTAGCACCACCACCCGCAGTGCCTCAGAAGTAGTGGTGCTATTTCCTGCTCAGCTTTGTCAGGGCCCCACCCTTCTTCTCCGTATTATGATTAAGACATTTTTCCTGCCATCAGGATGCTTGCGGTCTGGTGGACAAGAGACAAATACAGAGCAAACCTCAATATAATATAGAGCTACGCCAGACATATGTACAGAGATCCATGAGAAAGCCTGTTACGTGCTAAGTATCTGGTGTCCATTATCAGATTTAAATTCTCAACTCTGTGTCTAACTGCCCATTTTACAAATATAGAGAAGTTTAAATAGGTTTCCAAAGTCATGTTACTGAGCTGCATAGCAAAGATTCTAACCAAGATTTGTTTTAAGACACACTCTTCCTTCCAAACTACTCCCAATGTCACAAAGTGGCACTGTTACCTTTTTGGATCTCACCTGAAAGGCACCCAAAATGACTTGGAAAGCTCTAGAGAAAAATAGACAAGAGAAATATATACCTCCCTAAGGAAACCCAGAGTCTGGAGATTTGAGTTCTAATTCCACTTTGAGACAAGCCTGAGCGATGTCTCTTCCCTACTTTCTTCGCCTATAAAATGAGGAGGCTGCATCAGATGATCTATAGCCCTTTCTGACTCTAACATACTACATGATCTTTTCTGCCTCTTTGACACCTTTCCCCTCCAGGCCCCGAGCTGAAGCATTTGACCCCTTGGTACTGCGCTCCTCTGTGTACACTTTAGAGAGGTCCTGTATTCTCAAGGCTCACTACTTCTACTTCCAAGATACTGACACTCCCCACATGTTCATCTTTAGCCTGACTTTTCATCCAAGCACCAATTCTACATTTTCTTCTGCCCTCCTACATGTTTCCATATGAACAGACTATGGCCTCAAAATCAGCTTATTCCTGAATTCAACATCTCCCCTTCAAAAATCAATGTTCCCTTGGCTTTTCCATTTCTCTCAATAACGCCGTAATTCACCTGGTCACTTAGGCTTAAACTTAGAGGAGTAATTTAATTTCTTCTCTATTTTCACAATTAGTGAAGTGCTAGGCCTGCAATTATACTTGATAGGTAGTTCTCATGAGAGATAAAATTGTAGTATTTTCCTCCTAAAACGTAGAATTTAAATATATTTTAAGGCTCCTAAGTCTCTCCTTTATTTTAAATCAGCTGTTGACAAATACAGCCCAGGAGCGAAGATCTGTTTTTATACATAAAGTTTTATCAGAGTGCACTCAAACACAGTTGTTCACAGGTGGCCTGTGGTTGTTACTAGCCAATGTTGAGCAGCTGCAACAGAGGAGTCATTGCAAGACCCCGCAAGGCCTAAAATATTTACTACCTGACCCTTTATACAAAAAGCTTACCAAACTGCTCGAAATAAGCAATTTCATTCTCTTCACTGTATTCTCCCCTAAAGTATAGCTATGGTCCCTTCACTTGTGTTTTACCTCATTCTTTCCCAGATCCAATCTATTCTATCCCACAGTTGCCAAACAAATCTTCCAAGATCACCATTCCGGCATTATCCACCAGCTCAATGGTTTCCTTCTGCCAGTCCAAACAATTATACACATTCCTTCTGCTGGTATTTAAAGCGTTCCCAACGTCTACACCCCCAAATTATTTTATTTCACCTCACACTATCTAATACTAACCCCCTGTTCTGGTGTGGCCAGTCCCCTCACTATATCACTAAAACGTGGTGTTCATTGCCCTGCACACCTGCTTTTCTTTTTTTCCCTGCCCATCCCCTACACTTCTTTTTCTCTAGTTACAAAAATTCTACCCATTTTACATACTCCAGATCAAATCACATCCTTTCTATATAGTCAACAGCTCTGGCCTACAGAGATTTCTCACTCCTGATCTCCTATGATAACTGGTGTCAATACCAAACATTTGCACAACCACACTCTCTCTGTGTCTGAGCATTTATATGTCTTTATTTTACCACTGATACTATGAAATACCTGAGGGAAAGAATTCAGCATTATAATTTTTTGGGAATTCCCACTAAACCTGGTACAGTGCTGGGCCCCAGAAACTCTTGCTGAATTGAAGCAAAGTCAGTACATTTTTAATTACTTACATAATCTCAGTCAATCTGATGTGCCAGGGAAGAAAGCCTAATGTGCTCTCCACAGGACCAAACTTCAATACTACATCAGGATCAGGAAAACCATTTGAACCTTGAAAAGAAAGAAATACACACGAACTTAACATGCACTGCTTACAAATAAAATGACCAGGGGAAAAACCTGTTTCTCAGATCGGCTTCTTGTGCTTTATTAGTTCTCTTCAGACTTACGTATCCATACCCTCATCCCACTGCCCAACATATACTTTAATATCTATGTTATTTCCAAATGTAGAAGTTTTCTGTAAAGTTCATTTAACTGTATTGATTACCTGATAAAGAAGGGTAACCCGATTCCCACCCTAAACCTACTAGCATCTCCCAAATCCCATCTATCTTTCAAGTCTCAAGTGTTCTCACAGCATCCTGGGAACCACACTGCTTTAAGGAAACAAATGCTTTTCTGGTCAGAGTTAAATAACTTCAAATGAGAAGAAAAAAAGTAACTACTCTTCTTTCTACCCCCATACCCTCATTTTATAACTAAGGAACCAGAAACACCAACTCCCAACTATACCGTACAAATGTTTTCAATGTTCCCCAGAGCCCAAGCTCCCTAGAAGGGGAAAAGGAGACAAAGACATGGCCGTTTTTTGCTTTACAGCCTGGCTTGAGAAAAAAAGGGGATAAAGATATCTGAGCTGCTGTAAGATAAATTTTAAAATAAAAGTCACTGGTATAAGAGAAAATATGCTACAGTCCAAGAGACACAGGACCCAACGTTTTCTAATAACCTCAGTTCTGCCCCTAGCTTTCTTGTCACACAAGCTCTCTAGGGCTTAGTTCCTTCACTTGTTAAATAAGGAGACTACATTAGATGGCACCCAGTAGTAATAAAGAATTATTTTCATAACAGAGTGTCTTTAAAAGTCCATGTTGGCAGAGTGAATGGACTAAGTAAAAGAACACATATTCCTCTGCCTGATGAAAAAGCAAATACTTTATTAAAAAATAATAACAAGAAGGGACTAACAGGTAATAGTGTTATGAAGAAGGTGATAAATCCTCTCAAAAATTGGACAAAACCAATCACTTAAGGGCACTGGATATTAACCAGAAGGAAATTTTTATTCTTTAAAAAAACAAAACAAAGGAGTACCAGCTAGAGTTTCAGCTTAAGAATGGTAAGAATCTTTGGCCTTTCTGCCTGGGAATGCTCCCAATGCTCATACCTCTACCTGCAATCAGTTGGAGAAAACCATAGTTTTACCAGCACAGGACTGACAGCAAAAACTAGCAGGTTTGCTGCTTGTAGCCAAAAGATATGGACCCAGTTTAGAATTGGAGGTTGTCAGCAGGAAGGAGGGGGCAATGGTGAAAACCTATGGTTTTGCTAGCTCAAAGTGTCAAACTCAAAGGGATTGACAAGCTGACCCTAAAATGTATATGAAAATGCAAAGGACCCCAAGTAGCAAAAAATAAACTTTGAAAAAAATATCAAAGTTTAAAAATATACACTACCTGATTTCAAAGCTTACTATAGTAGGGTACAGGAACCAAGGAAATGTAGAATTATAAGAAAAGAATATAGGCCAACGGAAGAGAACAGAAAGCCCAGAAATAAACTCACAGACTTACGATAAACTGATTTTCAATGAAGGAGCCACAGTAAAAGGGGAAAAGGTTAGTCTGTTCAATAAATGGTGGTAGAAGAAAAACTGGCATCCTAAACCTCACACCATTCAAAAAGCTGGGTCAAAATGGATTACATATTTAAATCTAACAGCTAAAGCTATAAAAATTCTAGAAAAAACATAGGAAAAAATAATTGTGACTTTAATTAGGCAAAAATTTCTTAGATATGACCCCAAAAGCATGATCCACAGAAGAAAAATTGATAAATTGGATTTCATAAAAGTTAAATAAAACCATTAAGAAAAAGGAAAGGTAAGCCATATCTTATCTTAGTATAAAAGATTTATACCAAGAATATGTAAAGACCTCTTAGAATTCAATAAGCCAACAACCCATTAAAAATAGGCAAAAGATTTGAACAAATGAGAAAAAGCATGTGAAAAATGCTCAATATCATTAATCATTAGGAAAAAATGTAAATTCAACCACAATGAGATACTATTTATTACACACCTACTAGAATGGTTAAAAAAATAAGAATAGGAAAAAGGAAAAAGGAAAAAGGAAAAAGGAAAAAGGAAAAAGAGGAAAGGGAAG